AGGAGGAGGAGGAGGGGGGGGTAGGAGGAGGAGGAGGAGGAGGAAGAGGAGGAGGAGGAGGCGAATTAACCTGACTGTGACGTAATGGCGATCTTGACTTGTGCCAGAACACCATCCCCGGGATTTCAACACACTGATGCGCCCTGACAGTCCTGAATCGTTCCAGAACACCATTTCCGGTACGTTAGCCATGAGAACCCGTGAACATTTGGCATTTTGTTATAACGAATGCGCGCGGCGATAAGGCGTGAGCCACATTTTGGAAAGGAACCGCCCTCAATCGTGAAGTTCTTCCACCAACTTTTTGAAACGAAGGTGCGCGGAGCTAAGGTGCGAGCCACCTTTTGACAACCAACCGCAGTCAATATGTGAAACTCTTGCAATTTTTAAGACGAATGTGTGCGGCGCTAAGGCGAGAGCCACGTTTCGAAAACTAACTGCCTTCAATCCGTGAAGCTCTTGTCATTTTTTAAAGGAATGTGCGCGGCGCTAAGGCGAGAGCCACATTTTGAAAACGACCCAGCCTCAATCCGTGAAGCTCTTGTGCGCGGCGCTAAAGCGAGAGCCTCATTTTGAAAACGACCCAGCCTCAATCCGTGAAGCTCTTGTGCGCGGCGTTAAAGCGAGAGCCACATTTTGAAAACGACCCGCCATCAATCCACGAAGCTCTTGCAAGTTTTCAAAACTAATGCGCGCGGCGCTAAGGCGAGACCCACACTTTGAAAACCACCCGCCCTCCATCTGTGAAACTGTTGACCCCAGTCGCCAATTCATCGCCGGTCGGGGCCTGGGCCTGCTACGCCGCCCACGAATGCGTGGCTTCGAGAACGGGGGCCATCAGCGCCGCGTCGGCGGTGCGTCGCCGATTCCAGCTCTATTCGACCTGGGTTGTTCTGAGACTATCTCGGTGCCCGGGATGTGTCCCCCCTGGCGCGGGGAATGGCAGCATCGGGGGGTGGCGAGTGGGGCGGTCTTCCGAAGAGGCATGCGGGCTTCTTGAGAGGGGTCGGAGGCCCGTGCAATAGCGCTCCGCCCTTAGCCTCGAAGGGGACGAGGCGCCCCATCATGCCACCCACCTAGGGGAGCGGGAGGGCGAGTCGGATTGATTTACGAGTTCTTTTTTCTCTGCTGTCTTTTTTTCTTGCTGGAGCTCTGGACTCGCCACGTCCTGGCCGTTTCCCAGGCCCCCACAGCAAGGGGCACGAAGAGGGTGGTTGGCCCCTCGCAGGGAACAAATCCAATGTGTAAGGGATGCTCCTCAGAAGGCAAGGGTGCTTCTGCGAAGCCCCCCTGCCTTCTCGTAGGCTACCCTTCGCGCCTCCCCCGGCGCGGCTGTGCCGGGTTGCCAGAGGCCTGGGGTCTCGCGAACGAGCCCCGTCCGCGGGCACCTACCCCCGGCCGCCATGGCGGAGATGCCGGTCACGCTGGCGCCGGTCATTGACCTGGCGGCCCAGGGGATCAATGCGCAGGCGTTCCGCTTCGGCAACCTGACGATGGAGTCCGACAAGTACATCAGCGTCAAGGATGTGCTGCCAGATTGTGTGTCCACATCCACCGCCTCGGAGTCGTGCCCTGGGGCCTCGTGGAGTGGTGGGTGCCCGGGTGTCTGCCCGCTCCCGCGGGCGGGGACCTGTCCACACGCCCGCTCCCCGGGGACCCTGGGCACGGTTCATGAGTTGTGGATGCGAGCGTTTCATGACGGTGCAAAGGACACGGCTCCAGACGGAACGAGCCAGGTCGTGACCGTGGACATGCACAGCAATAACGCCGTCAGCAAGCGTCCGATGAAGGCAGAGGCCACCCTGATGAACCCGACCGACAATTTCATCGCCCTGAAGGGTTCTGCGGAGGGCACGCCTGGCCACTTCGTCCAGGTGTTCAATCTTGACTCCAAGGAGAAGCTCGGAGTGTACCAGTCCAGCGAGGCAATCGTCTTCTGGAAGTGGATCACGAATCGCAAGCTGGCGTTGGTGTGCGCCGTGGACGTCTACCACTGGGACCTGGCGACCCCGAACAGCGCCCCGGAGAAGATGTTCCAGCGGGCTGGTAAGCTGGCAGAGGCGGGCACCCAGATCATCGCCTACTCCTCCAACGCCACCCAGTCCTGGTGCCTGCTGACGGGGATCTCCACGCAGGACCAGGGCAAGACGATCGACGGCAACATGCAGCTGTACAACGTGGAGAAGAAGCAGCAGCAGATGCTCGAGGGCCACGCCGGCTGCTTCGGCAACGTCCCCGTCACCGACGCGGCAGCGCCGAACGGGCTCTTCTGCTTCTGCGAGCGCAAGGTCGGCAACCTGCAGACCAAGCTGCACGTGATGGACGTCACCGCCCCGCGCGGCGAGGGCTTGCCTGCCCCCTTCCGGGCGCAGATGGAAATTGCGATGCCGCCCGAGGCGCCCAGCGATTTCGCGGTGGCTCTTCACCTCAGCGAGAAGCATGGCGTCATCTTCATGATCACGAAAGCGGGATACCTTTTTGTCTTCGACGCCGCCACGGCATCGATGTTGGTGCGCACCCGCGTCTCCCAGGAAACCATCTTCATCTCCACTGGCAGCACGCAGACTGGAGGGTGCATCTTTGTGAACCGCAAGGGCCAGGTGATGTCGGTGAAGGTCAACGAGGGTGCCATCATCAACTACATCTCTAACAGCCTTCCGCAGCTCGCGAACCGCGCGGACATCGCGTTCGCTCTCGCGCGCCGCTTTGGGCTTCCTGGCGCCGACGAGCTCTTCCAGCGGCAGTTCAGCCAGTACTTCGCGTCCGGCGACTACCCAAACGCCGCCCGCGTGGCCGCGCAGTGCAAGAGCGGCATGCTGCGCACGCCCCAGACCATCCAGCAGTTCAAGAGCGTGCAGGCCGCCCCAGGCCAGCAGTCGCCGCTGCTGCACTACTTCAGCACGCTGCTCGAGTACGGTAAGCTGAACGCCCTGGAGTCCGTAGAGCTGGTCCGCCCCGTGGTGCAGCAGCAGAGGGGGCAGCTGATCGAGAAGTGGCTCAAGGAGGATAAGCTGGAGTGCACCGAGGAGCTCGGCGACATCGTCAAGCCGCTCGACACCAGGGCCGCTCTGTCGATCTACGTGCGGGGCCAGAGCCACCAGAAGGTGATCAACGCGATGGTGGAGATCGGCCAGGCCGACCAGATCGTCGCGTACGTCAAGAAGGTGGGCTTCCAGGCCGACTACTCCACGCTTCTGCAGTCCATGGTGTCCGTCAATCCGCAGGGCGCAGCCGAATTTGCAAAGAGCCTACTGACGGGGGAGACAGGCCCGCTGATCGACATCAACATGGTCGTGAAGGTGTTCATGGAGCAGAACAGGCTCCAGGAGACGACCTCTGTCTTGCTCGAAGCGCTCAAGGGGAACAGGCCGGACCAGGCCCAGCTGCAAACCCAGCTGCTGGCCATGAACCTTCAGCAGGCGCCGAAGGTGGCCGAGACCATCCTGCAGATGAACATGTTCACCCACTACGACAAGCAGTTCATCGGCACCCTGTGCGAGAAGGCGGGCCTGATGCAGTACGCCCTGGAGCATTACCAGGACCCAGCCGACGTGAAGCGTACCCTCCTGCACGCACACCAGATGACACCAGAGTTCCTCCAACAGTTCTTCGGCAAGATGGCCCCCGAGACAGGCCTGGAGTGCATGTACGAGCTCATGCGGCACAATCGGCAGAACCTGCAGGTCGTGGTGCAGGTCGCCATCAAGTACCACGAGCAGATGGGCGCCCTCAAGATCGTGGAGATGTTCGAGAGCTTCGGCTCCCACGAGGGCGTCTTCTATCTGAACGGTTTTGCCTCTTGCCGCTGTCACCCATTCTATGTTTGGCTGATATCTTGTTGACTTGCTTGCTTGCTTTCTTGCTGGTTGGTTGCCTCATTGGTTGGCAAGGTGGCAGCTGGCCGATTCGCCGTCTGGCTGGGCGGCAGTTATGCCGTTTGGTTGGCTGGTGGGTTGGCTGGCCTGCTGGCGTTTTCGCTGGTTGTTTACAGTCGATGATCGGTTGGTTGGTTGGTTGGTTGGTTCGTTGATTTACCGTATCAAGGAAGGGGGATGATATTCGGCCAGGAGAGGGGAGGAGACCGCGAGAGGTGAGAGGTGGGAATCAGGGGACGGAAGGGGGCCAGTGGAAAGGATGGTGACCAGAGGAAGCTGGGTCCAGGAGCGCGGATCCACTGTATTCTTGACGCTAGGCGCATCCCCACCAGCTCATCCAGAAGCGATGCCCAGGCGAGTTGCATTGATCAGAAGAGTGTAGTAGCATGCAGTGAACCAAGTTTTTGATCAGCCTGACCAGACCCAGGACGAGGACGAGAACGATGACGAGGACGAGGATGAGGACGAGGAGGAGGACGAGGATGAGGACAAGGATGAGAAGGAGGAGGACGAGGAGGAGGAAGAGGTGGAGGAGGAGGCGGATGATGATGATGATGATGATGATGATGATGATGATGATGATGATGATGATGATGATGATGATGATGATGATGATGATGATGATGATGATGATGATGATGATGATGATGATGATGATGATGATGATCTGATGATGATGATGATGATGATGATGATGATGATGATGATGATGATGATGATGATGATGATGATGATGATGATGATGATGATGATGATGATGATGATGATGATGATGATGCTGCTGCTGCTGATGATGATGATGCTGATGATGATGATGGATGATGAGGATGATGACGATGATGATGCTGATGATGCTGCTGATGCTGATGCTGATGCTGATGATGATGATGATGATGATGATGATGTGATGATGATGATGATGATGATGATGATGATGATGATGATGATGATGATGATGATGATGATGATGATGATGATGATGATGATGATGATGATGATGATGATGATGATGATGATGCTGATGATGATGATGATGATGATGATGATGATGATGATGATGATGATGATGATGATGATGATGATGATGATGATGATGATGATGATGATATGATGATGATGATGATGATGATGATGATGATGATGAGGAGGAGGAGGAGGAGGGAGGAGGAGGAGGAGGAGGAGGAGGAGGACGAGGCGGAGGAGGAGGAGGAGGAGGAGGAGAGGAGGAGGAGGAGGAGAAGAAGGAGGAGGAGGAGAGGAGGAGGAGGAGAGAGGAGGAGGAGGAGAGGAGGAGGAGGAGGAGGAGGCGGAGGAGGAGGAGGAGGAGAAGGAGAAGGAGGAGGAAGAGGAGGAGGAGAATAATGAGAAGGAGGAGGACGAGGAGGAGGAGGAACACTCTGGCAGCCGTCTTGGGGTCTTCTGGAGGCCCCCAGAGGGGCATCTTGGGCCGCGCCATTGGGGCCCGTGGGGCTTTTTTTTGTTGGAGGGTCTTGGGGTCCCCTTGGGGCTCTCTTTTGGGTCTTGTGTCTCTCTTGGAGGGATCCTGGATCCTGGAATCCCCCCCCTCCTTTGTGGATCCATTACGATCGCCTCTTGGGGCCCTTTTGGTGCGCCCTTGGAGCGCTCTTGGGGGTCTTGGGGCCGTCTGGGGGGCCTCTTGGGCCCCTCTTGGGGGCCTCCTGGGCCCCTCTTGAGGCTCTCTTGGGCCATCTTGGGGCCTAACTGAATGCTTCACAGCCGCATTAGAAGCGTAAAGGCGAGCACGCACACTTTTTTGATTTTCTTTGGATGTTTGACGGGCTCTGGCCTCTTGGGGAAGTCATGAGGCGGTTCCGAGAGCACTTTGAGCCGTCTCGTCGTCCGCTTGGGGCCTCTTGGAGGCATGTCGGAGGCTTTTGTCTCCTACCCAAAAACTTCAGGGAGGGGGGAGGGAAGGTACCCCCCCCGAAAGGGAAGAGGGTCTTGGAAGAGGAACGAAGCATATCGTTAGACCACATACGCCCATTGGGCTGGTGGCATTTTGCACGGGATCGCGGCCATGGGAGCGCAGACTTTTATGAGGAATGTTGACTGTGGGAATACGGGCTCATCGTGATCGTAAGTTTCTGACGCATGAACGGGCTAGGCAGAAGTCGTGATCGCCGAGTTGCCAAGCTGCTATGAAAACCGCAGTGTTGCTAACCGCCAGATCGCAGTGCCCAGAGCTACACAGCGATGTTACTGGCCGACGTGGCGTCGCGCCGCCGCAGCCGCGTCGGGTCGTCGTCGCTGAGACGACGACTGCGCCGCGTTGTTGTCGTAGTCGTCGTCGTCGTCGTCGTCGTCGTCGTCGTCGTCGTCGTCGTCGTCGTCGTCGTCGTCGTCGTCGTCGTCGTCGTCGTCGTCGTCGTCATCATCGTCGTCGTCGTCGTCAACGTCGCATCTGGCCGTCACAGAGCACTACCAGGCTCCTGGAAACTGCGCCTCGGAGGCAGTTGGCCCCCAGCAGTGAGGGCCAGCGGACTTCCTGGGCGCCATCCTGTCGACGAGCACCGATCCCGCCGTGCACTTCAAGTACATCCAGGGGGCGAGCCGCTGCGGCAACATGCAGGAGGTCGAGCGCGTGTGCCGCGAGAGCACCAGCTACAACCCGGCGGAGGTGAAGGAGTTCCTCAAGGAGGCCAAGCTGCCCGACCCGCGCCCGCTCATCTACGTGTGCGACCTGCACGGGTTCGTCAACGAGCTGACGGAGTACTTGTACAAGAACTCGTTGATGAAGTACATCGAGGTCTACGTGTGCAAGGTCAACGCCCTGAACTGCCCCACCGTCATCGGGACCTTGATCGACTTGGATTGCTCCGAGGACTTCATCAAGAACCTGCTCCAGAACGTGCGAGCGGCCTGCCCCATCGAGCCGCTCGTGGTCGAGGTCGAGAAGAGGAACCGCCTGCGCCTGCTGCTGCCGTGGCTCGAGGCGCGGGTTGCGGAGGGCAACCAGGACCCCTACCTGCACAATGGAATCGCGATGATCTACATCGACACGAACCGCGACCCCGAGCAGTTCTTGAAGACCAATGCCTTCTACGACTCCGCCATCGTCGGAAAGTACTGCGAGGATCGCGACCCGCACCTCGCGTACACGGCCTACAAGCGCGCGTACGGCTCGTGCGACGAGCAGCTGGTCAACGTCACGAACAAGAACGGCCTGTTCCGGCTGCAGGCCCAGTATCTTGTCGAGCGCCAGAACCCAGAGCTCTGGGCGCTGGTGCTCCAGCCAGATAACGAGCACCGCCGCCAAATCATCGACCAGGTGGTCGGCACTGCGCTGAAGGACTCCAGGAACGCCGAGGAAGTCTCGTGCACCGTCAAGGCTTTCATCTCTGCCGAGCTCCCCAACGAGCTCATCGAGCTTCTGGAAAAGATCGTGCTCCACAATTCGGAGTTCAGCAAGAACGGGAACCTGCAGAACCTCCTGATCCTCACGGCGATCAAGGCAGACAAGGCGCGCGTGATGGACTACATCAACCGCCTCGACAACTACGACGGACCCGCGATCGCCAAGGTCGCGCTGGGCGATCCGCACCACCTGTACGAAGAGGCCTTCCTGATCCGGCAGGCTCGCGCCACATCTGCCGACCCCACTCTGCACCGTGTGCTGTCTCGGCGATCTCGTCGCGTGCCAGGGCCCTCGGCGCCGCGGACGTGCCCGGCCCGCGACGCCGTGCCCGTGCTGTGCGCCAGGGGCCTCTCGGATGGCTGCTGGGGTCTCTGCGGAGGCCTCTCGGGGGCCTCCTCTTTTGGGCCTCTTGGAGGTTCCTGGGGCCTTGTGGGCGCCTGGAGGGCGCTCGCTGTTGTTCTCGGGGGTCCTTTTCGGCTGGTGGGCTCGATGTTGCTCGAGATGACGGGTCGCGTTCCCCCTCTTGGGCTTCTTTTGGGTATTTCCAGTAGCCGTGTCAGGCTGTCCGGGAGTCCTTTTGGGGCGTTGGGGCTTTTTTAGGCCAGCTTGGGGCATTCTCAGGGGCTTCTGGGGCCGTTCTTTGGGAGGTCTCTTGGGCCGTCTTCGAGTGTCGGAAAGCGGAAAAGGCGATAACATCTTAATCCGCGAAAGAACCAAAGGCGAGAACATTTTAATCCGTAAAAGAACAAAAATGAGATCCATGTTTTTGGCGTCTCCGAGCCTCCCTGCCCGTGCTCTTGGGTTTTCGTGGGCCTTGTGAGGCGCCTTCATCCCTCTTGAGGCTATCCTGAGCGCCATGAAAGCGTTCGTGGACTGTCTTTGGGCCCTCGTGGGCCGTCTTTGGGAGCTTCTGGGAGCCGCCGTGGCCGCCATGCAGAGTCGTGGCCCCCGCCCTGGCGCCGCGGCAGCAACCCGGAGGCCCACTGAGGAATCCATCCGGCGGTGGTGCCATGCCCAAGGGCGCATGGGTCAGATTTTTGGTTTGGGGCCCCTTTCGTTTGTTGTTCAGAATCTCACACGCCTGGAGACTCGAGAGGCCGGCGGATTTACAAGAAGTGCAACCTCAACGCGGAGGCCATGGACACCCTGCTCACCAACATTGAATCCATTGAGCGCGCCTCGGAGTTTGCGTCGAGGATCAATGACAGCACCGTGTGGTACAAATTGGGTAAGGCGCAGCTTGAGAGCGGACAAATCCCGGAGGCTATCGAGTCGTACCTGAAGGCCGAGGATGCGAGCGATTATGCCGATATCATCCAGGCGGCCGAGCGCGAGGAAAACTACGAGGAGCTCGTGCGCTTCTTGGTGATGGCTCGCACCAAGGCGAAGGACCAGATGATTGACACGGAGCTTGTCTATTCTTACGCCAAGACCGATCGTTTGGCCGAGATGGAGGAGTTCATCAGTGGCACCAACACGGCTAACTGCCTGGCCGTGGGTGACCGCCTGTACGAGGAGACGCATTACAAGGCCGCGAAGCTCCTCTACCAGTCCATCCCCAACAACGCCAAGCTCGCGTCCTGCCTCGTGCAGCTCGGCGAGTACACCCAGGCAGTCGAGGCGGCAAGGAAGGCCAACAATCCGAAGGTCTGGAAGGAGGTCAACATCGCGTGCGTCTCCGCAGAGCAGTTCCGCTGCGCCGAGATCGCCGCCATGAACATCATCGTCCACCCAGACCACCTGGAGGAGCTGATCGCGCACTACGAGAAGCACGGCTACTTCGAGCAGCTCATCAACCTGCTTGACGCCGGCCTGTCCCAGGAGCGCGCGCACGCCGGCATGTACACCGAGCTCGGCATCATGTATGCCAAGTACAAGCCAGAGAAGGTGATGGACTTCATCAAGATGAATACGGCAAAGCTTAACATCCCGAAGCTGACCAACGCGTGCGAGCGCCACTACCTCTGGGAGGAGGCCGTATTCCTGCACAGCCACTACGACGAGTACGACCTGGCTGCCAGCACCATGATAGCGCACAGCCCCGTGGCTTACTCTCACGACAAGTTCTTGATGATCATGCAGAAGGTGTCGAACACGGAGCTGTACTACCGCGCCATCTCGTTCTACCTCGAGGAGAACCCCATGCAGCTCAATGCGCTTCTGAACACCATTACTGCCAAGGTGGACCACGCCCGAGTCGTGCAGCAGGTCCGAGAGACGGGGCATATCGCGCTCGCCTTCAGATCTGTTTCACGTTTGCCTTTAGATCTCTATCACAGTATTCTACCGCGCTTGCCTTTAGATCTCTACCACGCTTGCCTTTAGATTTCTACTGCGCTTGCCATCAGATCTCTATCACGCTTGCCTTCAGATCAATCGTGCTCGCCTTGGTTTCTTTGTACCAGGCTTGCCTTTAGACCTACGACGCTTGCCCTCAGATCTATCACACTTTCCTTCATGTCTTTGGCACTTGCGTTCGGATCTGCGAGCTCACGCAAGATCTGCGCTGCCGCCGTGGAAAAAGAGGTCCGCAAGACTGGGCAGATTCCACTGATCCTGCCCTTCCTGAAGTCCGCGCAGCAGCACAACAGCACTGCCGTCAACGAGGCCATCAATGAGCTGTACGTGGAGTCGGAGATGCATGCCGAGCTGCGCCAGTCTATCGAGGACTTCGACAACTTTGACCAGATCGCCCTGGCCCAGAAGATGGAGAAGCACGAGCTCGCAGAGATGCGCCGCATCGCCGCCCTGGTGTACAAGAAGAACAAGAGATACAAGCAGTCTATTGACATGTCGAAGAACGATGGCATGTTCCGCGACGCCATGGAGACCGCGCGTGATAGCGGCAACACGGAGCTGACCGAGACACTCCTCAAGGGTTTCATCGAGTCGGGCAACAAGGAGTGCTTCGCGGCGTGCCTGTATACCTGCTACGATCTGATCCGCCCAGATGTCGCCCTGGAGCTGGCGTGGCGCAACGGCCTGATGGACTTCGCCATGCCGTACATGATTCAGGTGGACGCCGGCAGAAATTTCGGCCGAGCTCCACCATCCTCGAGATGCGGGTGGCGTTTTTTTTCGGATTTGGGGCCCCGCAGGGGCACTCCAACGGGTGATCCGCCAGGGAGCGCTCAGTCGCCGCAGGCCCAGATTGCTCGTTTCCTGGGGGCTAGGATTCAGAGGATGTCTCAGGCGAAATGCTTGTTTTCACATGCCTAGGTCGTCCAGAGGGGGTATCTAACATTATGGTCCCGAACTGGGGCTGCGTGTTTTCACGTGTGCAGGCCTCTCAGGGGCTGTCGATCATGGTGGTCCCGAGCCGGAGCCATGTGTTTTTATATGTCATGTCAAGGCCACCCAAAGGCGGGGTATCTCACATGGTGGGCCTGGGCTGGAATCACATGTTCTCATGTGTCTAGGCCACCCAGAGGGGATATCTAACATGGTGGTCCTGAGCTGGAACCGTGTGTTTTTACGTGTGCGGGCCACCCACGGGTGGGGTATCTAACATGTGGTCGTTTGGGAGCCCCCAGCGTGGGGGCCCACAAAAGCCAGACAAAATTGATACATCGTCACAAGATGTGTAATAATTTGACAGAGTTTCTCCGGCTGGTGATTTTCCAGATTTCCTGCCAGAATATCTAACATGGTGGCCCCGAGCTGGAACCACGTGTTTTCACGTGTCCAGGCGTATCTTGCATGGTGGCCCCGAGCTGGGACCACGTGTTTTCACCTGTCCAGGCCACCCAGGGGGATATCTAACATGTTGGTCCCGAGGTGGAACCACATGTTTTTACATGTCAAGGCCACCCAAGAGGGTATATCTCATGGTGGTCCCGAGCTGGAGCCGTGTATTTTCACGTGTCCAGGCCGCCCGGGGGGGTGGGGTATCTGAGATAGTTGCTTCTGGCCCCTCGCTGCAACCACTTGTTTCCTTGTGTCCAGGCCACCCAGTGGGGTGTCTAACATGGTGGCCCCGAGCTGGAGCCGTGTGTTGTCTTGTGTCCAGGCCACCCAGTGGGGTATCTAACATGGTGGCTCCGATCTGGAACCACTTGTGCATACGTGTTTAGGCCACCCATGGGGGGTGTCTGACATGGTTGCCCCGAGTTGGAACCACATGTTTTTACGTGTGCGGGCCACGCAGAAAGGAGTGGGTATCTAACATGGTGTCGTCTGGGCGCCCCCAGCGTGGGGGCCCACAGGAGCCAGACAGAGTCAATACATCGACGCAGCTCCTTCGGCGGGTGCTTTTTCAGATCTCCCCTGGGGTATCTAACATGGTGGTCCCCAGCTGGAGCCACGTGTTTTCACATGTCCAGGCCACCCATGGGGGATATCTAACATGTTGGAACCACTTGCTTTTACCCAGGCCACCCCGGGCGGTATCTAACATGGAGGCCCGAGCTGGAATCACGTGTTTTCACGTGTCCAGGCCGTCCAGGGGATATCTAACATGGTTGCCCCGAGCTGGAACCACATGGTTTCACGTGTCCAGGCGTATCTCGCATGGTGGTCCCGAGCTGGGACCACGTGATTTCACGTGTCCAGGCCACCCATGGGGATATCTAACATTTTGGTCCCGAGGTGGAACCTAGTGTTTTTACATGTCCAGGCCACCCCAGAGGGTATCTATAATGTTGGTCCGAGCTGGAGCCGTGTATTTTTACGTGTCCAGGCCGCCCAGGGGGGGTATCTAAGATAGTTGCTGCTTTCCCCTCACTGGAACCACGTGTTTCCTTGTGCCTAGGCCACCGAGGAAGGTACCTAACATGGTGGCCCCGAGCTGGAGCCACGTGTTTTCTGGTGTCCAGACCACCCAGAAAAATGTATCTAACATGGTCGCCCCGAGCTGGGACCACGTGTTTTCTGGTGTCCAGACCACCCAGAACAATGTAGCTAACATGGTCGCCCCGAGCTGGGACCACGTGTATTCATGTGTCCAGGCCACGCAGAGGGATACCTAACATGGTGATCCTGAGCTGGAACCGTGTGTTTTCACGTATCCAGGTCGTCCAGGGGATATCTAACATGGTTGCCCCGTGCTGGTCCCGATCTGGGACCATGTGTTTTCACGTGTCAAGGCCACCCAGGGGGATATCTAACATGTTGGTCCCGAGGTGGAACCACGCGTTTTTACATGTCCAGGCCACCCAGGAGGGTATCTATCATGGTGGTCCCGAGTTGGAGCCGTGCATTTTTTCGTGTCCAGGCCGCCAAGGGGGGTATCGATCTAAGATAGTTGTTTCTTGCCCCTCACTGCAACCACTTGTTTCCTTGTGCCCAGGCCACCCCGGAAGGTTTCTAACATGGCGGCCCCGAGTTGGAGCCACGTGTTTTCTTGTGTCCAGACCACCAAGGCACATGTATCTACCATGGTCGCCCCAAGCTGGGACCACGTGGCTTTACGTGTCCAGGCCACCCAGTGGGGTATCTAACATGGTGGCTCCGATCTGGAACCACTTGTGCATACGTGTCTAGCTACCCAGAAGGGGTATCTAACATGGTTGCACCGAGTTGCAACCACATGTTTTTACGTGTGCGGGCCACCCATGGGCGCCCCCAGCGTGTGGGCCCACAAGAGCTAGACACAAGCAATACATTGACACCAGAGGTGTAGCTTCTTCGGCGGGTGCTTCTTCCAGATTTCCAGATTTCCCCCGACCACCCAGAGGGATATCTGACGTGGTGACCCTGAGCTGGAACCGCGTGTTTTTACTTGTCCAGGACATCCAGGGGGGTAACTAACACGGTGGCCCCGAGCTGGAACCAAGTGTTTTCACGTGTCCAGGCCGTCCAGGGGCTATCTAACATGGTTGCCCCGAGCTGGAACCACGCGTCCAGGCCACACAGGGAGAAATCCACATGTGGTCGTCTGGCTTTATGCCTGAGCACATTGTGAGGGTGCCTCGAGCGAGGGCTGCAGAACTGCATCGGATCTTGAGCCCGAGCTGGTCGAGCGCCCCGCGCGTTTTGATTGCAACTGGCCCAAGCTATGTGTTCAGACAGCTTGAGCTTTAGATGCAAATCAGGTCGGTCAGGATTTTGACGCCAAGGGCGGCTTGACCCACAATGCAATAGCGCACGGCACAGTTCAACGCGGCATGTCCCCCCGCGCGTCCCCTTGCATTCCCCTGGCCCGTTCCGTGGCGCGTCCCTGGCACGTCACCATGCGGCGCGGCACAGTGCAGATCAGCGCAACACAGACCTTGACAGAATACCATCACCATTGATATCTTCAGCATTGCCTGCCCATTGCCCAGTTGAGGTGCTTGAAAACGTTCCCACGCCTCGCAATTCAAAATCCCTTCCCTGGTTCGTGGGTCGATCATGTTTTTCTTTTTCTGTGTGGGGGGGGGGGCGCGCGCGCGCCAACTTCCGCCAGACTTGAGGCCCCGCAGGGACCAGAAACTCATTTGTTCGCCGCCTTCGCCCCTTTTACGCGCCGTCGACGTCGAGAGTCCGTGTCCGCGCGCAGGTGCTGCGGGAGTACACCGGCCGCGTGGACGCCCTCGACAAGAAGACCCTGAAGAAGGAGGAGGAAGAAGAGAAGCAGAAGAGCGCCTCCAACGACTACGTCCCCGACATGATGGGCATGGGCATGCCGGGCATGATGGGCCCGGGAGGCATGGGCATGCTGGCTCTGACAGCCCCTGGGGCGGTGCCGCAGCAGCCGGGAGGCTACCCGGCGCCCATGCAGCCGGGCATGCCGGGCATGATGCAAACCCCAGGCGCTGGGAGAGTGAACGTGCACAGACCTCTCGCGTCGTGAGCTCGTCGTGGCGGCTGATGTTTTGCAAGTTTCTTTCTTCCAGAGGCCCGTTTCGGGCCCAGGGGCCGTCAACTAAAGTGGGTAAGGATGAAGGGCCATGGGCGCAGCAGTTGTGAGTATCGTCTTCGGTGGAGCTCCCTGTGGGGCCACGAACCGTGTGAGGGGTGTGCAAAAATGGGGGTGGAACCGCGTGCGAACTTTGCCAGTGGGGCCTTCGGTGGAGCTCCCTATGGGGCCACGAGCCGTGTGAGGGGTGTACCAACATGGAGGTGGAAACGCCTGCGAACTTTGCCAGTGGGGCCTTCGGTGGAGCTCCTTATGGGGCCACGAACCGCGTGAGGGGTGTGCCAAAATGGGGGTGGAACCGCGTGCGAATTTTGCCACTGGGGCCTTCGGTTGAGCTCCCTATGGGGCCTCGAGCCGTGTGAGGGGTGTGCCAAAATGGGAGCGGAACCGTATGCGAACCTTGCCACTGGGGCCTTTCGTGGAGCTCCCTGTGGGGCCACGAACCGTGCGAGGGGTGTGCAAAAATGGGGGTGGAACCGCATGCGAACTTTGCCATTGGGGCCTTCGGCGGAGCTCCCTGTGGGGCCACGAGCCGTGTGAGGGGTGTGCCAAAATGGGAGTGGAACCGCATGCGAATTTTGCCACTGGGGCCTTCGGCGGAGCTCCCTATGGGACCACGAGCCGTGTGAGGGGTGTGCTAAAACGGGGGTGGAACCGCATGCGAATTTTGCCACTGGGGCCTTCGGCGGAGCTCCCTATGGGACCACGAGCCGTGTGAGGGGTGTGCTAAAACGGGGGTGGAACCGTATGCGAATTTTGCCACTGGGGCCTTCGGCGGAGCTCCCTATGGGGCCTCGAGCCGTGTGAGGGGTGTGCCAAAATTGGGGCGGAACCGTATGAGAGTTTTGTCACTGGGGCTTTCGGTGGAGCTCATGATGGGGCCACGAACCGTGTGAGGGGTGTGCCAAAATGGGGGTGGAACCGCATGCGAACTTTGCCACTGGGGCCTTCGGTGGAGCTCCCTGTCGGGCCACGAAACGTGTGAGTGGTGTGCCGAAATGGGGATGGAACCGCAATGCGAACTTTGCCACTGGGGTCTTCGGTGGAGCTCCCTATGGGGCCACGAAGCGTGTGAGGGGTGTGCCGAAATGGGGGTGGAACCGCAATGCGAACTTTGCCACTGGGACCTTCGGTGGAGCTCCCTATGGAGCCACAGAAGGAGGAGGGAGGAGGGGGAGGAGGAGAAGTGGAGGAGGAGGGACGAGTGGCGCTGTCTTTTCAAAACCAGGACCCAACACCACAGGATGGTTGGGATAAAGTGAGCGTCCCCCTGCCCCTGCAGGCGCGCCGATGATGATGACCCCTGGCATGGGCGGCATGGGCGGTGGTTTCTGAGCGGCCGCAGCCAGACGCTCGGGCGCGCGCACGTTCGTGCTTCGACCGGGGGTGGGGCTGGGGATCGCTGGCTCTACGCCGGCCCCGATCCTGGCCGGGCCGATCCTGCGCCCAGGGTCGGCGCGTGCGCCTCCAAAGAGGCGAGTGCACGGCAGGTTCGCGCGGCGTGGGCGCGGCGGCGACGCCAGCTGCCAGCGCGGGCGCTCGAGGCAGGGCTCCGCCAGCTGCCTGGGCTCGGCCAGTATGAAACGATGCCCGCTGCCAGAAAGTGGCGGCCCTTCGAGGTTGATCCGCGCGGTGCCAGAAAAACAGCGCCCGCGTCGTCGCGACGCGAGCCGGCCGCGCGCCGATCCTGGGCTCGGTGTGGGCCTGGCCAGGGCCGGCGCCTGGTGTATGACCAACGCCGTCTCGTGGTGGGGCGAGGGGACCCAGACCCCCCCCCCCTCCTCCTCCTCCTCCTCCTCCGCCACCTCCTCTCCTCCTCCTCCTCCTCCTCCTCCTCCTCCTCCTCCTCCTCCTCCTCCTCCTCCTCCTCCTCCTCCTCCTCCTCCTCCTCCTCCTCCTCCTCCTCCTCCTCCTCCTCCTCCTCCTCCTCCTCCTCCTCCTCCCCGCGGCAGCTCTTGCATCCCGAGCCGGTCTTGGACGGCCCGGGGCCTGGGCGAGGGCTCCGAGATGCCGGGCATCGTCGGAAACCTTCCGTGGCGGACAGAACCCCCACCTTGACACGTCGATGAGTGAATTGTCCGTTTTCGGTTCTCGAGAGGGCGCCGCGGCTGTTATTTTCCAGGCTTGCGCCCGCCAGGTTTGGGCCCGACCGAGGTCGTTTTCACTATACCACGTTTTACAAAGGGGGGTTCTGTCCATCCCCGATACATCCGACGATCTGATTATTGCAGCGCGCGGCTCCAGAGGTCTCGGCTATTTCCTCGGTGCGAGAGTCTCGTCCTGGATCCGTCTTGGATGGTCCTGGGGCCCCGTTCACGACCCCCCAGAGGTCGACATCGAGAAAGAAAGAACGCCTGGAGCGAAAAACTCGGATCGTCGGAGATCTGGGGTTCTTGGGCATGGCGGCGCCTGCCGCCCTCGGTCGGACGGGGGCGCCGCGCAGACGAGCAGTTCCCGCGCGAGGAGGGCCCGGCGCGTGGAGTGCAGACCGCGCCGATGGGCAGGGCGCCTCCGCTCGCACTCCTAGTTGTCTCGAGCTGGGCCGCGAGGGAGCCGGGCGATCGGCCAATAAGGGAGCCGATCAGCTGCTAGTTGTAGCGCGCGCCGCTGCCCTCACACCTGCTCCTCCCTCCCTCCCTCCCTCCCTCCACCCCTCTTCTTCCTCATCCACCCCTCTTCCTTCCCCCTCCCTCCCTCCCTCCTTCCCTCTGTCTCTCTCCCTCCCTCCCTCCCTCCCTCCCTCCCTCCCTCCCTGCTGCTCCTCCTCCTCCTCCTCCTCCTCCTCCTCCTCCTCCTCCTCCTCCTCGTCCTTCTCCTCGTCCTCCTCCCGCTCCTCATCCTTCTTCGCCTTCTTCCCCCCCCCTCCCCCTCCTCGCCCCCCCACTCCTCCTCGTCGTCCTCATCCTTCTCATCTCCTCGCCTCCTTCTTCTGGTCTGTCCACCTCCTCCTTCTCCTCGGCCTCGCCCTCCTCGTCGTCGTCGTCCTCTTCCTCCTCGTCCTCCTCTTCTTCCTCCTTTTCCGCCGCCTCCTCCTGCTCGTCCTCCTCCTCCTCCTCGACCTCCTCCTGCTCCTCACCTCCTTATTCTATCCAGGTGCCTGCGGCAAGGTCCGCCACCGTGCCAGCTCAGCCCGTTGGGTGGCAAAGCTTCGAGCTCCGAAGGCCGTCACATGTGACACCTTTCGTCGATACTTCTTGAGGAGCTCTGATGGAGCGCACTTGTGCCGTCTTGGGGCTGTCGTGGTCTCTAGAGGGGCAGTCTTGGGGGTCTCTTGCGGCCCTCTTAGGCCATCTTGGGATCCTCTTGGGCCGTCTTGGGCCTTTCTTGGGCCGTCTTTGGGGGCCATCTTTGGGCAGCCTTGGTTCGTCGAGGGGCCCTCTGAGGGCGTCTCCGGTCCTTCCAGGGGCCCTCGTGGGCCAGCTTCGAGCTCTCTTGGGGCCGTCCTGGGCCGTCTAGGGGCCCTGTTGGGCTATCTTGAGGCCGGGTTGGGGAATCATTCGGCCATTTCGGGGCTTTCTCGGGCAGTCTTGGGCCATTTTGGAGGCCCCTAGGGCCGTCTAGACCTGCAGGAAGTCAGAACAAGTGAAGACGCCCGAATCTGTAAAAAACCTGCGGAGCACATATGATTTGGGTTTCTTTGGGCCCTCCTGGGGGTCCACTTGTGCCCCTCTTGGTCTGTTTCGGGCGCCCCTTGGGCCGCCTCGAGGTCATCTTGGGTCGCCTTGGGGCCTTCTTGGGCCCTCTTGGAGGCATCTTGGTTGCCTGCTTAGTGAGTCTTGCAAGCCCGGGAGCGCGGATCCAATATTTTTCCCAGAATGGGCGCTGGCTCAGGAATTTCTTTCAGTAGGTAAGCCTGTCCCCAGTGCCAAGTTCGAAGAGGGCCGGCGGATTAGAAGTTGAGGATGTCCCGTGCGAAACGCTGTTTTTTTTGAAATTCCGATCGATAAAACGATGGGTAAAGTGAACATTGTCGTTTGTTGCGGATGTCTTGAGCGAAACGCTTGTTTTGTATAATTTATTGAGGACGTCTAGCGAATCGCTTGCTCTTCTCTTGAGGCTCGAATCCTTTCTGCGTTTCACGCGTATTCCTATCGATTGCCTCAGCGAGCGCCTCAGAGCGGAACAAGTGTGAAAACACCTGGGTTCCTAACGCCCCAGGGCGGGATAAGCGTGAACACGTGGGCTCCTAGCGCCCCAGAGCGGACCAAGCGTAAAAATACATCGGTGGCTAACGCCCCAGAGCGGGACAAGCGTGAAAACACGTGGGTTCTTAACGCCCCAGAGCAACCACATGGTGTCCTAACCCCTTAGGGCGGGACAAGCGTGACATAACATGTGTTCCTGACGCCCCAGAACAGGACGAGCGTGAAAACACCTGGGTTCCTAACCCCCAGGGCGGGACACGCGTAAAAACAAATGGTTCCTAACGCTCCAGAGCGAGACACGTGCAAAAACACATGGTTCCTAACGCTCCAGAGCGGGACAAGCGTGAACACACATGAGTTCCTAGCGCCTCCGAGCGGGACAAGCGTGAAAACACATGGTTCCTAACGCCCAAGGGCGGGACAAGCGTGAAACCACTTGGGTTCCGTTCCAAACGCCCCAGAGCGGGACAAGCGTGAAAGCACATGGGTTCCTAACCCGGCAGGGCGGGACAAGCGTGAAAACACGTGGGTTCCTAAGGCCCCAGAGGGGACAATCATGAAAACACGTGGATGCCTAAGGCCCCAGAGCGGGACAAGCGTGACAACGCCCCAAAGTGGGAGAAGCGTGAAGCACATGAGTTTCGAACGCCACAGGGCCAGACAAGCGTGAAATCACATGGTTTCCAAAGGCCCCCCCGGCGCGTCCCCCGGCGCGTCCCCCGGCTCGCCCTCAGTCGCGTTCCCCGGCCTGTCCCCTGCCGCTTCCCCTGCCCGTGCCGTGGCGCGTCCCTTGCCACGTCCCCTGTCACGTCCCCTGGCGCATTCCCTGGTGCGCCCCTGGCGCATTTCGTGGCGCGTCCATGCTCCCTGCGCCCCGTGTCGTCTCATCCCGCTCCGGAATTGGGTCGGACCTTGAGCTCGAGTTAACTGAAGGCCCCACGTTTCGACTGCAACCAGCTCTGGGCCAGCTATGCGCTCAGGCAGCTCGAGCTTAAGATCCAGATCAGTTCGGCCAGGATTCGGAAACCAAGGGCGACTTGATCCACAACGCTATAGGGTACCACGCAATTTCACCGCGGCGTGACGCATCTCATCTCCGCACGGCACAGCACAGCTTACTCTTTGGCACTGTACATCACGATCGACACCTTTAGCATTGCAGTTGCCTGTAGCCCAATCAGGTGTCTTGAAAGCGTAGCCATGCCTCGCGCTTCTAAATCCCTCTGGGTTCGTTGGTCGATCATGTTGGCACGGGATCGTGGCCTCGGCAGCGCGGATCCGCAGTTTTGCGAAGGATCGTGGCCTCCGGAGCGGGGGTGCACACTTTTCCCGGAAAAAGGGCTCCTGCCCAGAGTTCTTTTTTGGTAGGCAAACCTGTCCTTGGTGCTAAGTTCGCGTAGGGCCTGCATATTCTGGCTCGAGTAAACAAGCGAAATCAAGTCCCATTCCGTTTTTGAGAAATGCGTTTCGTGCGTGCCCGTTTGAGGAAAATGCGCCTCCCAATTGCGGATCCTCGCTGCCTGACGGGGTCCGCAGACCCCCATTTTTTCCCAATCAGAGCTTCTCTCTGTAGGAGTCCTAGCGGATTCATCTGGTTAGGTGAGGTACGGCGCCGATTTCGGCGGCACGCCGGGGTGCCCGGGTGCCCGGTAGCCCTATAGCCTTATACCCTTATAGCCTGATAGCCCTATAGCTGTGTAGCCCTACAGCTCTATAGCCCCAAGCCCTACAGCTCTATAGCCCTGTAGCCCTATAACCTTATAGCCCTATAGCCCTATAGCCCTATAGCCTTTTAGCGTTATAGCCTTATAGCCCTATAGTCCTATAGCCCTACAGCCCTATAGCCCTATAGCCCTACAGCTCTATAGCCCAATAGCCCTATAGCCCTTTAGCCTTATAGCCCTATAACCCTATATCCCTATAGACCTATAGCACTATAGCCCCATAGCCTTATAGCCCTATAGCCCCATAGCCCCATAGCCCTATAGCCTTATAGCCCCATAGCCTTATAGCCCCTATAGCCCTAACAAGATTATGATTGTTTTTTTTCCCGGCATCGTTCTTTGTGAGAAAGTGGTTCTCAGACTTTCGAATTGTACGACAGATGACAGAATGTTGACTTTTTGCGTGCCCGCTCGAGGATAGCGAGCCCTGCGCGCAGGTTCCAAGAGGGTGTTTCGAGCCCCGCGC